TCCTTGTGTTTTTCTGCATGTCCTGGAGGTTGGGGGAACCTGCTTCTCCCTTAACTTCCAGAATGAGTGTAGGAGATTGGTCACATCTCTAATGAGAAGCTGTAATGAAGTACAAATTACCACCAAAAAGTGTGAGCTTTGCTCATGCCTGGGAGCAGTGGCATATCTTCAGATTGTGGGGGCTACTGCGATGCACTTGGTTTGTATTCAGATCCATATGTTTTGTAATGTATAAATGGGATCCTTCTCCAGCTGCTGTCAGACAGCTGTAGCTTCATCTACGGACACTTTCATGATTTGGAGGAAACTGCTCTATCTTCTGCATTATGGACAGCCCTCCTGTGATGCTAATTTCTCTTCTGGGTTACTATGGAGACAGGAACAATTGTAATTGCTTGAAGGATTAGCAGTGGTATGACTTTACAAGCAAGAAGTTCAGAAAACGCAGAAGAAACTCACGTTCCTGTGTAGAGAACCAAAATCTGCATACAAGGCTGTCACAGCAGCAGCTAAGTGGTTAAGAACAATCTTCTGTTTGAAAGATTTAATTAAAAAAAGAAAAACCATGCCCAGCTGAAAAAACGTGGCAAGGAATGTGACCACGCCTGTGACTAGGGAGGGGAGGGGGGGGAGCAGGACTACTTGTTTTTCTATCAGTTCTACCTGTTTCTTTCTGTACGAGTGGTGCTTTATGAGTCTTTGAAAGAATCCTTATCAAATACATTTTCCAAGACTTTGGTTGGTTGAATGCTTTCTAATTTTATGGAATGGTGACTCAGAAGAATGAAAGTGTTTCTGTAGAATTATCTTTTTCAGTTTTTTTTCCCATCCTATTGAAAGGAAAGTATGGTATAAATGTTTATTTTTTGTGCAAAGGTCTATCTGTATGTGCATATAAAAACACATGAAAAATTCAATTATTTCACACCTTTCCGTGTGATGTTTAAAATATTAATGACTGCTGACCCTGAATTGTGAGATTAAAATTAGTACCCTGTTTACTATCTCATCACAGTAGTATAAATTCAGACCAGTCTTTTAATCCTAGAAGCAGACCAATCTGTAATGTTGTGCTAGCCAGGTGACTTAGTAATTAGTTTCTTGGTAAAGTTGCTGAATTGATTGGTAGAGATGGATTGTACTAGTAAGTAAGCATGAACAAAGTTTCCAGCTGTTTTGATCAGTATAGACTGAGCACAGCTTTTGAAATACACCACTCTGATTTCTTTTCCTCACTTACACAGTGTCATGACTGAAAGCTGCTTGCAGGACTGAGGAGTCCTGAGAATGATGCTGATAGCTTTTTAGGCACTGCAGACTTGCTTCTGTAATAGTAAAGGGTCTCTGGGCATTCCTAGGTTTTGCTTGCAAAAGATCTGAAGCTGATGACCAAATCCTGCCTCAGTGTCTTCGTGAAAGTGTGGGAGATACACAGAGGTGCTCACATTAGGCTTTCCATTCAGGGATGACTGTCACTATTGTAGTCTGTGCTACTCTTTCATGATGTTTTTTCCAACTTTTTTTCCTAGAGCTTTCAGCCTTCAAGAGTCTTTTATAACTAATTAGCTTTATTGTTTATATTACTCTCATACTCTAATTAGAGTAATCAAATCATGGGGATCTTGAAGCTCTCCTCCTTTTCCTCTAATTATTTTTGCTTTGTGAAGCCTGGCTATTTCCTGCTGCTTATTCTTGCCCATGCGTTTTTACTTTCTGCAAATTGATGTTGTCCTGTACTAATGGTTTTCTCTTTTTCTAAAGAACCTTCCAAGTTTTACTGTATTGGCCATTCTTGTCAGCCTGTGAAGACCTTTAGTCCCATTTGAGAATTAATTGCAAGGGACACACTAGCCAGTGGGAATAATAGATATGCAGAAGAAAGAAAGTGATGTTTTTAACTATGTTTATGAATTTTTGGGATTGTGTATTAGGAAGAATTTATTTTCAGAAAGAGTGGTGATGTATTGGAACAGGCTGTCCAGGGAGGTGGCATCACCGTCCCTGGAGATGTTTAAGGAAAGGGTAGATGTAGTATTAAGGATATGGTTTAGTGGGCAATATTGATGATGCGTGGACAGTTGGCCTAGATAATCTTGGAGGTCTTTTCCAACCTTAGTGATTCTAAGATTCACTTCAGATTAAATTGTTTCAACTATCTTCCACCAAGCCTTGGTTGTCTCCTGGTTGCCACGGTTGTAGTTGTTTTGCCCTTCAGCACTGTTTGTCTGGTGGTCGCTCATTCATGGTAGCAATGAATACTTTCCATGCACTCTCAGGCAAGGAGCAGAATATATCAGCTCTTGTGTCTTGAAACTGAAAGTTTCGAGTTCACTCAAGTTTGTCTGAACAAACCGCCAATTCTGAATTTACCAGAGTGTCATAGCTACTTCAGCCATTCTGCTATCAGCACTTTTATCTCAGTAGTGGAAACCTACTGGGTTAAAAGCAGTTTCAGAATTTTTTTTTCCAAACTCATATGTGACTACCAAGCAACTGTGTACACAGAGACAGCATGATCTGCTGTTTCACCTTCTGCTTTCCTTTTCACCCATGTGAGAATTTGTGTGTGAGGAGTCTCTACTCTGCACCCCTAACATACCTCAACACTGAAGTGGATATAGTGGGTTTGTGGTGGCAGAACACTGTCCTTTGCCCTCACTGTTTCTTGAGGATAAAGATTGTCTTGTGTATGTGTATGTGTATGTTTATGCATATATACATAGATAACACAAGGCAGTGTTGGTATCACCTTCCAACAATGAAGCAGAAAATGGAAACATTTATGGAAAGTTTTCTGGTTACTGCTCTTAGATTTTGCACACATTCTAGGAGGAAAGGAATAAAAACAAGCTTGTAATGCTTAATGACGTGAATAATGCAAGGTTAGATTAGAGCAGTATATAATTTATACTTTTTGGAACCATTATTATTCTGTGTGTGTGTGTGTTAGCAGCAGAATCAGTCAATCAGTCTTTGCATCAGTTAAATTTCCGAATGTGCAAGTTCAAGGACCATCATCAGAATTTTTATTAACTGTGCCACCTTTGAGTGCAGATTTCAAAGGTAGCGGATTGCCAGGATTAACCAGAAACATACAGGCAGTACTCAGTGAACACATGCTTGAAGTCATAATAGTATTTTTACTATCTTTATGGATTTCATTCTGTGAAAGCTCTAAGTAATCTTTCACATCTAAGGCTATGATAAGACTAGAATAGCACTTGCTTTAAAGTATCAGTTTGTCCACTTAGGCATTTTGTGTGAATTATGCTCTCCTACTTATAAAAGGAAGCACTTCAATAACTTTGGAGCATGCAATCATCTCTTCACAGATGAACTGTCAGTGCAATGTAGCACCTGAATTCTAATCTGCTTTGCATTTCACCTGAGGCGTTGGATAGTTCATTCTCTTTCTAACATTGTGTTCTCTTTCATTGGGACTGCAAATACAATACCTAAAGCAGAGCTTGTATGAGGGCTGTGGCCACTCCTGGCTGAAATAATCACATGCATCTTCTCCACACCTAGCATGACTTCTGAACTGGTAGCACAATTAAACAAGCAAGATGATTCATTAATGGGAGGTTGATAGGATCACAGAATGGCTGAACCTGGCAGGGCCCTCTGTGTCTATTTGGCCAGTCTCTGTTCCAGCAGGGCCACCCAGAGCAGGGTGCCCAGTGCCATGTCCATGCGGCTGCTGGAGATCCCCAAGGAGGAGACCCCACAGCCTCTGGGCAGCCTGTGCCACTGCTCTGTAACCCACACAGCACAGGATGCTTCTGGTATTCAGAGGCATCCTCCTGTGTCCCAGTGTTTGCCCAGTGCCTCTTGTACTGGCCCTGGGTGCCACATATAAGTGCTTGCCTCTTTGCACCTTTCTTCAGGTGTTTATAGACATTGATGAGATCTCTCCTGAGATTCCTCTCCTCCAGCTGAACAGCCCCAACTCTCTTAGCCATTTCTCATAAGAGAGATACTTCAGTTCCCCAATAATTTCTGCGGCCCTATTCTGAACTGATCACAGTCCAGCAATAGCAAGTCATTTTGTGTTTCCTTGCAGCTCTTGTGGCCATTGCATCTAGGCCTCTCCAGAAGTAATGAGATCTGTATATTCGCTGCATGTCTAGAAAATTTCTTTGGGACTTTCTGGTGGTGAGGGCCTGCAATTATGAATTGGATGAATTTATGTTCATCTAAATAATGTTTATTTTAATAGGAAATGCCCCTGGAAAAACCAGGTCTTGGAAACTGCTCTAAATGTCTCAATTATTTCATCTCTCTCAGAAGCCTGCCCCAAAGTTAAACCCCCTTTGTCATTCTTGGTTCTCTTCAACTGTTTCTTAAGCTTTTGGATTTATATATTAGCAAAAGACTTATTAAATATGTTAAGCTGCAATATGGCCAGATATAGCTTAATCTCCGTATCTTACTTAATTATCTGCAGCACCAGGATAAAGACTGGACAGAGTCTTTTGGAAACAACTGTGCACCAGATAAAGCTTTCTTCCCTAATGTAGGGGGTGACATGGTTGCTGGAGAGATCGTATGTTTCTCTGGTCCGTGTTCCAAATGGCAGAAATTATCCTTTATTTTATGTTTTTATGTAGTATGCATGCACAAAGTTATATAGAATCATAGAATGGATTGGGTTGGAATATATTTTAGTTTTAATCTTCCATTATGAAGTTAGGTTTGTAAAATGTAAACATCTAAATGTGAGTTATTTATCTATTGCTCATCTGGCATTTGGAGAGAATTTCAATGACTGTTTTTGACATCACTTCTAGGATGAGGTAAATTTCACTCATGCAGTCAACTGTGACTACAAGGGAGTAGCTACTATGACTAGTTCAAACTTTGTGAAAACCTCAAGCTAAGAGAAAACCATTCCTACGTAACATTGAACTAGTTAGATGTGTGTGTAGCAAATTATTCTGTAGAACCATAGTGAATCATTGTACTACAGACTTACAGTTCTTTTTTTCCCCTCTCCAAAGATACCACTTCAATTTTTCCAAATTGTTCAGCTCAAGGTCAAGAACCACTTGCTTTACAGAGAAGACACCACTGCTGAAGGTTTCCTCAGAGGAAAATGGGTGAGTTACTTTCATTTTACTCAAAATACATTTTTCCTAAGCTCTCTTCTATTTAATTGTGCATGGTTCTTTCTTATATTCTGACATCAAACCTAATGGGAAATAAAGTGGATGTCAGAAGTTGTGAGCAGAGAATTACTCTGAAGTAGTTTGAGTGGAAAGAAGGGGCTATAAATGAGATAGGGAATGATGTAAGGTCGCAGGTCAGGTTGATTAGAGATACCTTGGGATAAGCAACTGCAGGTTGCTCTCATTTTCTTCATATTGTGTTGCATTAGGTGCATTTCAAGACACAGTAGAGCTATAAGATGGATTCTTCTTCTTGTGCATTACACATCAAATTCAGAGGCATGTATGTCTGGTGCTTCAAAATGCTCGTTCTTTCAGGTGCACCTAAACATCATAAGGCTTTTGCTTCTCTGTCTATCTAGTTGTGCCATCAAGAGGAGCTCAGTCTCTACTGAATAAATATCTTTATATGATTTTTTTTCCATTAAAATCTATTACAGAGAAGCTAAGCATATGTAAGATCAGTTGCATCTCATATCTGTTGAAATAAACTACTGTTTTACTTTCTCTTTACTGAAAATATGTGACAGGTTGCCATGCATGGGTCTTCATAACCCAGATTTTACCACAGATGATGATTCATGGGACAACAGCTCTGCCGAATTTGAACAGAGATTTCATCTGGGAAGTGAAATGACCAGTTTGTCTAGATCTGCTTCTTCTGAGAAATATGAAATCTTGGATAACCTTCATGTCAAGTTCAATTTAACAAAGATGAGGTCTGAATTCAAACATTATTTTATTTACTTTTTAAAGTTTCAGCAGTTTCAAAGTATAGATGGCTAGAAAATGATATATTTTCTGCAAATGAATAATATAATGCTCCATATTTAGGGTATATTTTACCATTGATAGCTTATAAATAAATCCTGATGAAACTGATTACAGCCTCTATCCAATGATCAATAGCTCTTTGCTCTTAGAAGCATTAATCAAGATACCTATTTTAAATCTGAATTTAAATAATGTTTCTATTGCTTTCAATATTTTGAAAGCCTCTTGGCTTTTTCACAGTTTTGTTTTTCACTTTTCAGTTTTTTTGAAGAAATATTTATCTTTAACTGAAATGTATATCTCTCTCCTTATAGAAAGATAGATGAGCAGTCTTCTACTTACCTAACAGTGTTTCTGGAATCATCATAGTAGCTTTTCATGAATATGCAATGCAAAATATAACCAAGAACTTTTTTGTCTTTAAGTACATTAATATATTTCACTCTTTATCTCAAAGTAGTCTTTTACCTCATTTAGGCAGGGATGAAGTTGAAATATTTTAATGTACTGAAAAATATCAATATAATAAGAGCTTAAATTCAAATGTTCTCAGGATATTTTCACCTGAATAATAGCTAGCAAAGCCTTTAGTCTCAGATACAAACTCTCTCTGCCACTTCTAGATTTTCAACATTTCTTCTTGTTCTGGTTTGAATTGCTAATAGCTCTGCAGTTTGCATGGAGCCCGAGCACTTCATGCCCCTATCTACATGTTGATCCATGGAGCCTTTTCTGACAAGAAGTCTATGACTCTTTTCGCAGTCTGTATGCTGTCTTAGCTCATCATTTCACAATTGTCTTCCTTCTTTCATTGTGCATATGGTATTGTGTGGAGTGCCACGCTCCTGTACGCTACTGAACAAATGGAGCAGGAGAATTTCAATGGCTGCAATTAGTGCAATATGAGCAGATGTGAAGAAATTTGGCAGACGTCTTTCTTCATGCTCTCTGTAGCTTTCCTTGTATTTGATGGAACAAAAGCATTGAGCAGGAGAGTAGAATCAATTGTTTCCAGTATAGTATACGTTTATGGGGGTAGTGTATTTCTCTGGCAGAACTTTCTGTGAAATGTTTTCATTGCTATAGTGCTGGTTGTACATCTGGGGCCAGCTCCTTAGATGTTGCAAATCAGCATAACTCCACAGAGATAATAAATGGAGCTAAACTGCCTGATGTGCAGATCAGACTAAAATTCATTTGGTTTAAAACAAGGAGTGAAGTCCTTCACAGATTTGTATTTCATGCATTTTCAACTAAAGTCAGGTAGGATTGTGCTGGAGGCATATATCAGTAGAGAGTTTGGCACAGAGTTTGTACTTGCATCGCTGTGCCAGATTAGTGCAGCAGAAAGAGACAGATTGGAAAACACAGACGAGTCAAAGACTCATCACTTCTCAAATATAAGATGTTAAAAGTACTGCTTCCTTAATACAAAATGCCATGAAAACAAACAGAAGGGAGGAAAAGAGGCTTCTAAATTCTATGTTTAATAAAATAACCACTTCCAAAAGCTGTTTTTTATCACATCTTGTCAACTCCTTGAGATGAGTTTCTGTTATTCACAGACAAATGGTTATGAATTTATAAGTTTTAATTAATGCTTCTTGTTTTCTCCTTTATGTTAAAAATGAGTTATTGCTGTTTCTTTTTTCAATAGCAATTTGAATTATTGTTATTTGAAATGATAATTTGGAAGTGCAAACAGAAAATGTTGAACACATTAAAACTAAACCAATGTGGACTGGGCTTTAGTAATTCATAACATAACAAGCCCTCAAAAATACTGAAACAACTGTGATGTGAAGATAGGGAGAGTAGATAGATAGGATAGATGATGCATGACTAAGATGGCAATGTTTTCCATAAATCATACAGTAATGAAAGAAGTTATCAGCTGTGGGGTGCTGATAATGGCTTTTGTTGTCATTCCTCTTTTTTAAAACTTTATTATCCTCTCTCCCACCTCAACTTGATTTGCAGTAGAGAAGGACTAACTGGTGCTTCTGGAAGCTACCTCGCTGACTTTTTATCATCCCCAACCTTCCATAGATGTTTATCCCAGTTCAAAGTTCGCATATAATTGTTACCACTTGCATCTCCTAGGGTGTTGTAGCCCCTCTGTTGCAGTTTGACTGTGGCATGGTCTTTTCATCAGATACTGTATCTTTTTCTGCTTTTTTTTTTTTTTTTTTTGGAGAAGTCTAGTGAGGAAGGGATGTTGTTTTTTCTCAGTGAACTTGATTTAGGGACTTACTTCCACTGTGACTAGAAGTTATTTCTGACTGTCTTCAGATTACTTCACTTTAATATTTTGTTCCAAAGCATCTGTCAATTGAGTTATTTATTGCACTGCTTCTTTCTCAACTAATTATCCCAGTAACGTGAAATATTTTTCTTCTTGCTTGTCATCAGGCTTAAATCAAACCTTGCATTTGTCATTCTCTCAGAAAAGCAATGTTTGAATGTTTACTTTTGGAAAAAATGGGGTAAGAACATCAATGTCTTCAATTAGTGAAGAGGTGAGATAAGGGCAAATAAGCAAAAAGAGTTCTGTAAATTAAGACATCTGTGCAACATTTTGATGGGCAACAAGAAAATAATTAAAGAATTGCCTTTTATGGTAAGATTTAAAAAAAAACAATGTGGTGATTAAAAAATGATAAATCTTAAGATTTCTTACTAGAAAACATAAAGTTTCAATATTTCAGTTCAGAATTGTTCTTGTTTAGGCCACTCAACAATAAGCTCTGACATTTTGGAAGATTTGATGGCATTGTATCTCCAGAACTGGCCGTTTCCTGGCACATGTGTACTATGGAAAAAAAAATCTAGATTTGCTAGAACATTCTAGAGTTGCTCACAAAGTATACTTAATTTGAAGAGACAATATTTAAGACCAGGATATCCTTAAAGACTGTTCTTGTCTTCAAAGTGAATGTCAGGATGCCTACTAGAAGACTGGTTTAAGCAATTTATTCACGAAAGTACCCCTCTATGCAGCAGTTCGACCTTTCCACTCAGTTGTGCCATCTTCCTGTGTTCTACCTTCCTGCAAAGGGCTGTGCTCCTTTGAAGCCCAAGAAGAGGTCAAAGAGTGGCAAAGGATCTGTTGGGAGCCACCCAAGGGAGATTGCTCCAAGTCTCAACACTAGCTCATTCTGTAGCCTTCGTTCAGCTTTTCTAAGGGACATAAACTCCCTCTCATTCAATGAGAGAAGGCTGGCAGCGAAGTGAGGACAGAGTCCTTATAGTCAGCAAGGCTTCCCATGCCCTTGTGTAGCGTGATGTCCATGCTCTGACATGGTATGTTATTATTCTTAAGTTCTCAATATCTGAAATGGCAGAACTATTAAAAATATAGAAAAGGTTTGTTTTAAAATAACTGTGTACTAAATACATGCTTCTTACATTTCAGGTGCTGTCTAAAATTCCTGAAAATTTCAGTCCTTTTTATCTTTGTGGTAGTCTGCTCTGTAAGTATTGAATTAGCTATCTTTTCCTCTTTCTCCTATTACATTTCTTACGATTAGTTGAAAATGATATTTGGTTTTAGGTGATAAAATAATGTCTCATGGATGGGAACAAGATGGTAAAAACTAGAAATAGTGTTCTGGTCCTTATGCCTAATTAGACAACTGCTCAGTGCACTGCCCTCTACCCTGGACAATGTGGCAGAGAATTTAGTTTTAGGAGAGAGTTGGAATTTTTATGTAATCAATCCTGCATTTAGGATGGCTCTTCAGATACTAATTAAAGCCTGGGAAGTATTGGTATGTTTTCCCCCTTGGCAAAGTGTGTATCTCCTCATGTACAGCCTTTTGAGCAGCAGTTCTCTTGTGGAAGATACTAAAATGTAAACATTTTTTGAGGCACTCTGCTTCCTGTGTGGCTGCTGAAAATGGGCAGTTGGGAGCAGTTCCCACTAGTGAGTATTTACAGTAACTGAGAGTAGGCAGGTCTTCCCCAAAACTGAGGACTGAAAGGAAACTCTAGAAAAAAGACAAGGAAAGAGCTGTGATTTCTAGGAAGATGATAGACCCAGAGTGTCTTTGAAAAATCTTTCTTTCTGTTTTGTCACACTCTTCATTCTCTTTTACTACTCTATGGTACTTTTTTCTTCCTTTGTTGACCTTGTCTTTCTCTGAAAATTATTCTGTCCTTCTCTTCTTTTGCTGAAGACTCCAGGCAAGCTTTTTGTTTTCCTGTCCTGTCATTCTCAGTTCTCTTTCCTTCTACCCTTCCCACCAGAGCTGCTCTTGCTCTTCATTGTACCTCTCTAACCATGTAAGTTCATAATCATTTTTCTTAAATTCACCTAACCATGGTGTCTGTAGAAACACTGGGATAAAATATATTGAAAATGTGACCTGTCGTAAGTTCACTGAGGGAAAATTACTTGTCCTTGACATGTGTACCTGGGCTGCTTTTCAGCTTTGGGGGAAACTTACCTGAAATACTGAAAGCAATCTTAAGATTTTATGTATTGTTTGAAAGTCTTGAAGTTTCTGATATAAGCTTAAGATATTTTTTTTCTCTAGATTTTGTTTGGCATTTACCCAGATCAACGTGTGTCCTGGCAGATGTTGGCTGTCTCGCCTCTGGAAAGCTTCTGTATCCTTCCTTCATTGAAGAAAACTTAAGCTTTGTTAACGAAATGGTTGAATTACTGTTTTCTCTCTTATAGTCAGAGTGGATTTAGTCTCGTCAGAGCATGCGCTGCCCTTAGATTTGTTCTTTGATGCAAACTGCAGTTGTGCATCACATCCAAGCCGGCCGTGATGAATAGTGCCTCTCTGTGGTGCTTTGTGGTTCCCATCCAGTTCTTACATTGAGATTCTGCATGAAACCTGAAGTTTGAAATCCTGATGAGATCAGCTTCTAGAAAATAGCCATGACTGTGACTAGTACAGTCCAATGGCTGCAGCCATTACTCCCCCGGCCAGGGGCTATCATCTGTAGCATGTTTTGAGGATCTTGATGCATGATTCATTGCAGGTGAATGCAAACCTGTGTTTGAAAGGCCTTTGAGGGATGAGCATGATGAACATTCAGTTAGTAAGCAATCAAAAACTTTTGCTAATAAACTACCTTTCTTGTTTCCAATATATTTCTAATTTTATCAGTTTGATCTGCAATTTCTTTTACTAATATTGGAAGATGATTCACTATGGATATATTTTATGAGCATCTAGGGAGCATCATCTTTTGAAAAGGTGCAATAAGAGTTAATTCTTGAAAGATTCATTTTTTCTATTTAATTAGACAGGTCCATAGCTTTAAGGAGGCAGAGTCCATTCTAAGCAGATTTGTTAGCGTTCTCACTATTGCAAATAATGGCACTATTGCAAACAATGTTACACAGCTATTAGTAGGGTAGATGAGGAAGAAAAGGTTAGTGCTTGGGGGCAATTTATAGTGAGAAGCAGGGACTGCTTTTTGGAAGAGAGCAAGAGAGCATTAGCAGGACAAATGAAACCTCACCAGTTAGCTCCCATCGCACCAGGGCTGTAATAACTCAGTTTGCTGAATCAGGGTGTATTGGCATCAAGTCTTTGAGATCAAGTTGTAGTCAACTATCATAGCATAACTTGAGGACTGGGTCTCTTTCCACAGATTTTTGGAACCACAGTTACTGCTCTGTGAGCATTGATTCTGCAACTGGTTATTCTTTTTTCTTGTTTCAGGGAGTGCTATTCGGACTGGGATAATGATTACAATCAAGTATTTCTTTATTTCATGTTTTACATGTAATGTCAAGATGCTTTAGCCAAATAGCTGTCAGACAGAATATAGCATTCTCTTTCTTTATCTGACAAACCTGGAGGTGAAGCTTGTTTGTGTCATATATGTTGAACGCTAGACATTCTGTCCTTTCATTCCTACTCACTGAGCTGGGAGTAAGCAATCCAGAAAAGTCTTGTTTCGTTTTCAAGGTGACAGAATAATTCAAGCAGAAGGGTCATTGAGAGAAATTTGTTTCTAAGTGAGATTTGGAAAAGGTGTGAACAATTCTGAATGTCATCTCACCACTGCTACTAGTCTTTGGTCATGCAGACATAAGCTCATGTGTTTGTGTTGCTTTGTTACATGGTGAAAAACCTTTTGGCTAGGCTTGGATAACACTAACCATTCAGAAAGCAGTGTCGAAGATGTAATTTATGCTGGCTGAAGATTGCAGTATTCTCAGTGGACGTTAAGAGGTAGTCTGAATGTCTACAAGAATTTCATGGTAGGCAGACAGGTGTGCTGTGATAGCTCTTGTCACCAAGCCCATAGAGGTTGTGCATGAGATTATGGGTGGAAGTGTCTTAGCTCATGTGATACTAAATTATGCTAATGATATGCTCTTTCCTCCTTGCTCATGTGTCAAAAGCAGTTGAAATATGTTTAATAGGTACTAAGTATCATTTACTTGTTTTATTTTTTTTTTAAATCCTTCATCTCATTATTATGCTTTTCCAGAAAAGCTCATGTATTTTGAATTGTGTATTGAGTATATACACTCTTATGAATACATATGCATACACTAGAAAAATCTGAAAAATAATAAACTAAAGGTGGAAATTTAAATAATTAAAAAATCAAATGGAGTCACTAGACTTCATCATTCTGGTGTTGCTTAGATATTTGTGTTTTTTTTTTCTCTCATGCACACAAGGTGTCAGACTTGTTTGGAGCTGTGACTTTCTGTCTCTGGCTGCTACTTCTAATATAGTGTGTCTTTAGCACTTTTCCATTTTCTCTAGCTCCTGTTTGATGTTTCCATACCTTTGTTTATTGCTTGCATTTACTTTGGTTGATTTTTCCCCACTAACTTCTGTGTACATTTTAGTATCTCACGTATATCTCCCTTTGCTTTATCTATCCCCATGGATTCTAAGCAGACTGTAGTGCTGAACTGTGCTGGCTGTAGTTTCTGAAAATTGAAGCTTTCCTCCTGTGATTAGTAGAAGCTTTCTGTGTATGTAAGATGTTTTTTAACTCTAATTTGCCTATTGGTGCAAGACCCAAATTAAGTGGATTTAGTACGATTTTTTCAAAGTAGTGGTAATATTGTTCCTTTTTGACAAGACTTAGGATTTATTTTCTCTTAAATTCTAACAATCAACTCTTTAATACCTGACAGAAATAAGTTTATGATAAGGCAAACTTAAAGGATGCCTTTCTGTAGGAAGCAATATTCATTGCCTTGTTAGTGTAAATCTGTGAAGCATTTTCAGACCTTTGGCTGAAAGGCCTTATGTTAAATGGGAAGCATCGATAATTAAAGGGATGATACGCCTTTGGAAAGTGGGTTATAAAAATAGAAGAAGAGATATGGAGTCTGAAATATTATAGCATTTCCTATGTTCTGCCACGTACCTATCCTAAGACATGAACATATTTGTTTTCTGTAAGTCCTAAGCCATTCAAACTTTCAAGTAACTACAGTCAGTTAGCTGGTGAATTACAGAAAGAATAATAAATATTCATTGTGCTTATTCATTAAACACAGAAGTTTTCAGTCTTGAAGAAAGTTCTGAAATACTTGATGGATCCTGTTTGTTCCTTTATTTCAAAAAATTTCTGCCGTGACCTAAGCAAAATTTTAATTGTTTCTTAAGCTACAGGGAACAGACAGCTGGAACAGAAATCTGCAGTAACCTTTGGAATCGAACTAGGCTTTATGAAATTCAGAAATAGTGGGGATTTGTGGGCGCTACTGAGGAATTACACAATCAAACTTTACATTCATTCATTATCATTTAAAGAAGTGCCTGTCTCACTAGTAGAGTACCTTCTTTTCTTTCCCTGCCCCTGATACATTTGTTGCTATTTCTATATTTCAATGGTAGAAATATAGTTTTTTTAAAAGAAAAGGTAAATCTTCTTCTAGTGCAGTCCTGGGTCAATGGGTCTCACATCATCTCTGTCCCTGACAGGTTTTTCAGCAAGTCTTGTTTGCTTCCCTCTCAAGAGCCACAGTATTTATGCCAGTTACTGCTATACATGAGGGAAAGTTAGGGCAGTCTAGATGCAGCAATTTTGTTTTCCTTTTTCAGATTGCTTGTCAGAATGTACTTCTTGTGGTCCTGAAACCTAATAATAACTAGGGTGTGGAATTTGATTTTTTTTCTGTATCTGGTCAAGAATTCTACAATTTTTAAATATATTTTAAATCCTTTCAGTCCTGATCTGATTGCTTCCTTTATATGTTTGATATCTCCTCATTTTAGTTCTTTGGAGTGAGGACTGACATTTTGCAAGTTATTTATATTTGCACAGCACCTGCTGTAAAGAGTTCCTTACTCGCTTGCTCTCTGAGTACTATCACCACAAAACAGAACTTAGGGAAAATGCATCATCTAATGTCACGACTGAACCCTAAAAAAACAGAGTCAAATTGACTAACTAGTGGCTATTTTCACTGGTTTATCTCTCTCCTTGTTAGCTCTGGGAGATTTCATCATGCCTTAGCCAAGCTTAAAATATCAGAATCAGAAAACAGAAAATATATCTTAGCAGTAATAAAATATTAAAATTTACATAATAGGCTAGATTTCTTATTTTGGTTGGATTCAGTGAAACTATTTGGAAAAAAAAAAGTATGAAATTTGATAGGGGAGACATTAGACAGAGAAAACAAGATATGCTGACCTTATTATCAAATTCCTTGCTGAGGTAGAATGAGTTTGAATGATGGGTGCAAATGTGTTAATCACAGAGCAAGAAAAGGTCACTAGAAAAACTTGTAATCATGCCATGACCATTGGTGACACTGAAAATCACCTTTTCTGCTCCCTGAGACAGAGATATTTATAGAAAGAAAGACTATGAGGAAAAGAATGCGCTTGGGGTGTTGAAAGCTTTTCAGCTTCCAAGAACTTAAAAAATGGGTTCTTCTCCCAGGCAGTATAAGTAACTAACTGAATGAAAAAACAAAACAAACAAACAAAAAAACACAACCAAAACAAAACACCACCACCAACAAAACAAACAAACAAACTCCTCAGATGTTGCTTTAGCCCTCTACTGTCAGACAATCTTCAGTCATTTTTTGCTTGAAGAAGACATTTAAAAATTATTTGTTGCTGGAAATGAACTAAGCATTTTGGTCTGCAGGCAGTATTCAAGCTTCTAAGAGGATGGATGAAGGCTAGACCATATTCATTGGCAGGCAAAAAAGCAGAATATCAAGGCATATTTGAGAAAACTAATGAAACTTCTGAAACTGATAGAGCACAGAGAGAAAGGGTGGAACCAAAGTAGAGAAAAATGGAACCAAACTCTCCAAAAAGGGAAAAGAGGAGGAGGAATTACAGTGAATTCTTCAAATGGGGAAACCAAGAGCTATAGAAGAGCATGAATTTCCGCTTTGTATACTTTGAAGAGATGATCAAAAGACAAAATTGCAGAGAGATGTAGAATTTCTAAGAATTCTAAGAACATTCTTAGAATGTTCTTAACCCTGGTTAAGAATAATATATAAAAATAGATTCTAAAGCCCAGGAGGAAAAAAAGTCTTTTAAAAATGAGAAAAACATAAGAAACCAGCATGAGCAATATATCAGGATCATTAGTATATATGCACATTGGAAGCTCAGTGAAAGAAAATCATTACATGTAATAATCTCAAGGTACATTTTACAGGAAGCAGAGTACATGATGTAACTAGATGTTAAAGAAGGCATAAAGTCAGCGTGCAAATAGAGAGTCTCTGTCAATAATGGCTTTTCAGATGGTTCTGTACATAAGGCATAAATGCCTGGATGGAGAGTAAAGCACGGATGAAGTACTTAGGGTGTGACTCATCCCTTCTACCTGAGTCAGTCATTCCAGGCTCTATTTATATAGTTCATAGACACTTGGTGCTTCTAATATGATGGTGCAAAATGAGACAATGAATTCCATCTCCCCTTTTTCAATGATTTAAAACAAATTAAAGCAAACAACTCAAAAGCAGATGTCCATGTCACGGAAACAGAAACTGGTAGATAAATAACAATATAAATTGTTATAAATCAAACAGGATAAGTTTAGCCACTGTATCCTGTTCCATCTTGTGGTTTGTGTAAGCTACAAAAAAGTGAAATGATATGAGGTCACTCTTGTGTGTTCTGAAATACCTTCTAGGAGCAGAAATACAGCTCATGGTTTAGTGCTGAGCGATGGACCTAGTCTGGTGCCAGATGTAATTACATAGAGCCACTCTGTAGTGGTGCACAAAGCATATGCAACCCCAAATCCCTTGACAGGATAATTCACAACAGTAATATAATTTCAAGAATGGAACTACATAAAAATGAGGCAGCTTAGCCAAAGTGGAATAAAAATAACAGCTCCAGCTTTAAATCTTGTCAGGGAGATTTCTTGCTTTAAAGGCACATACTGAAATCTGTGTTTCATAAATGTTCAGAAAAGAGAAAAAAGAAAACATGTATCATGTTTAAAATGCAGAGTTAAAGAGAATATTGGAAATAAAAAGACAGTTTCTAAAAGTTGAAGTCATATATGAATGGTCAAAATGGAAAAGAGACCACATTCTTGTAATTTAAGGGAAATATAAAGCCAAGGTAAGGCATGACAGAAGTGTGCTGAGGAGCAGACTGAGAAAAATGGCTGGTAAAAAACCCACCTTTTGGTTTATCTAGGTGTAGCTGAAGTTTTTTCCTAATTTAGCCTGAGTCTACCTTTCATAAAGGCTGCGATCTGCTGCTGTGTAACAATGGAATTATGACAGTTGCCAAATAGAGTTTGGAGAAAGATAACTGTTGGAACTTCAGCAGACCAGAGAATGATGTTCAGTGCCACCTGCACTCAAAGGAGAATGTTTTTATGCTAGGAATCTTCCTGATGGTTTTATAAATGTTTTGAAGAGAATGGAAAAATGTTCTTAAGTATGCCCCTATTTAGAGGAAAATAAGGTAAGAACCACTCTTCTTGAAAATAAGGTTTCATTTTTCCCCATTTAATTTTAAACATTCTGTATAATAGCTTCTGAATGTGACATCTGAGTAATTATAAGATATATTTTAAAAGTATTTCTTAAAAGGAAGCCTCCTTAACTATATGCACCTGAAGCTTTTTGAGACATGAATTACTGGCTACATTTCTGATAAAAAACAGACAGTCAAAAAGTGTCCCAAATCATTGGGTTAATAACTAGGTCAGCAGGCTTATAGAAGGTATAATTAATGTCTCAAGTTAGAGATATACACATAGTTCAAGTGTAGAGTAATATTATGTATTAGGACACCAAAAAACTATGATGCCATGTCACAAGTGGAGTTTGTCTCCTGATTCATTACTTCTGGAGTTAATTTTTATGGTTTCCTGTGAAATTTCTTTAAGCAAATAGATGCTTGTGTTTGTTCATGTATGTTCATTCTTAATGAACAGTGTGTCAATGGTGATGCTGATGGCTTGCCAAGCTAAACAGGGAGACATATTATTTTGCGAAGTACTCACTCCTCACCTGCCACTAGATGATAGAATCACAGAATGGTTTGGTTTGGAACAGAACTTAAATCCCACCTAGCCCCAATCCCTGCCATGGGCAGGGCTGCTGCCCACCAATTCAGCTGCCCAGGGTCCCATCCAACCTGGCTTTGAGTGCCTCCAGGGATGGGGCACCACAGCTTCTCTGGGCAGCTGTGCCAGTGCCTCACCGCCTCTGAATGAGGAATTTTCTCTTTATACCTAATCTAAATGTCCCTTGTTTTATTTTAAAGCCATTCCCCTTGTCCTATCACTAAGCTTTCCTTTTTCCCCAAGCCCACAAAGATGATTCTTTCTCAACCATGCCAAAAGTGGATTCCTAGCAATACTGTGTTTAAACAGCCCTAGATGTTCTCAGACTAGTTAAGCCAAGCTTCTAATATGTTTGTCTCTCATGGTTGGCTGATTTCTTAATTATATTAGTCTGGGAATGTTGTTTGACCACATCTCATGCTAGATGCTCAAAAGAAAAAGAAAGAAAAGATAGAAAAGGAGTGAAGGAGAAAGAGACAATTAGCATTCTCAGAGGAGCTTGATTATGTATTTCTAGGTGTTAGAAAACTTATGAATTAAATTTTGACCAGAAACCCAAATTCTACACCACAAATGGAGAATTAATTCTGATTTAATTTTCCACATGGTTACAGCTTGCACAGTGTTTTCCCCAGTGTAATTTCAGGTATGTTTAAATGGCCCAGTTAATGATGCAGACTTTCTTCTCTACAAGCACTTAAAGAGCCTTACTTCACAAGCTCTCTCAGAGACCGATCTCAAGATTTGCAAGGAAAGGACAGAAGGATTTGTTGTGATTCTTTAAGTTCTTTTTCCTTAGGAAACCAGGCCAAAACTGTGCTACTTGGTGAAGAGGTAAACATCTGTTTTCTTCCTTTCATAGTTCCTTATGTATTTTAGCATTTTAGGTGAGTAATATGTTTTCAATATAAATTGACTCATCTTTTTTTTTTTTTTTTTTTTTTTTTAATTGGAATATCTTCAACTCACTTTTACTGGAAACTTACACCTTAACAAGTTTATTGACAGCTATGAATTTGACAGACTTTCGTGACTCTGCTCTGTTGAAGTTAGACATAGGAGGCCCATTTGCAGCAGATGTAGCTGACGAACAAACACAAGAATACATTTTAGTACAAGTCAGCCAAACTGAAGAAACTGGATCAAGGAGGAGACGCCAACAGCAGGTGATAGTCTTTGTATTCTCTTTCACTTTTTCTGAGTTGCGTTAAATCTTTTGTTTTTCATCACTGTGTTTGAGTTGGTTGTGTTTTTCCCTGTGGTAAAATTGGTGTCAACATCGGCATTAGAAAAATAATTAGAACAGCAAAGTTACATTTTCCTCTGTCATTGTGAGATTTCCTCTAGCTTTCAATACTTATCAAAAATCTGTAAAACATATGTCCCTTTAAAGTTCACACATTAAAAATTGGCAACATTTCAAGAATTGTCTTAGAAAGATGAAACAAGTGCAAAGTGCCTTTTCACACTCACTGGAATATATTTTCACATTTTGTTGGAATTATTTTCTCACACACGCCATCACCTGTATTGTCTTTAATTCTCTTCAGGCTTTGACATTGTTTATAACAATGTCGTGCTGCTCCCTTCTTGAGAACTCAGTGGAGGATCTTTTATGATGTGTCATTGTGTATCACTGAACAATGGAGAACAGCTTCATCGTTTAATAAATAGTATTGGCATATAAACAGCAGCCTCTCATTCCACATGAGGTGAATGTCCTGTCTCTACCAGTGACAACTTACCCTGTAATGTCAACAGTTTTCCCATGTACAGCCAATCTCACGGTCTACATCAAAAGATTAGTTCCACTACCTCAGTGTGCGGAACAAAACTGCAATGTCAGTTACTCTCTCAAAAGTCCCAGGCCTGTGATGTGGAGGTTAACCCATGCTGCTGGCCGTGATCCCCAAGGATCCTCCACACTGCTGCAGAATATCACTTCCAGCTGGCACTCCAGGGATAGTCCTCGAGGATGGTCCCAGAATGAGAGGATGAGTTTGCCCCAAACTGAGGGCTGCTAATATACCTAACGAAGTGTTATGAATATAGCCTGGTGCATGTGTTCTTCATAATAAGAAGTTCTCCAAACTGTAAAGGAGATAGAATGAAGAGGTATGAATGATAAAATGAAAAGGCAAATGGTATCCTGATCTCCACCAAAAGAGGGGTGGCCAGCAGGGACAGGGAGGTGATTGTCCCCCTCTACTCTGCTCTTGTGAGGCCCCAACTGGAGCACTGTGCCCAGGTATGGAGCCCCAGTACAAGAAAGACAGGGAGCTGTTGGAGATGGTCCAGACGAGAGCCACAAAGATGATCAGGGGACTGGAGCACCTCCCCTGTGAGGACAGGCTGAGGGAGCTGGGCTTGTTCAACCTGGAGAAAAGAAGGCTATGGGGTGACCTCACTGCAGTCTTTCAATACCTAAAGGGAGCCTACAAACCGGAGGGGAATCGACTCTTTGAGAGGGTTGATAGCTGCAGGACAAGGGGAAATGGTTTTAAGTTGAGGGAGGGGAGATTTAGGTTGGACATCAGGGGGAAATTCTTTATCCAGAGAGTGGTGAGGTGCTGGAACAGGCTGCCCAGAGAGGTTGTGGATGCCCCGTCCCTGGAGGTGTTCAAGGCCAGGTTGGATGGGGCCCTGGGCAGCCTGGTCTAGTATTGAATGTGGATGTTGGCAGCCCTGCATGTGGCAGGGGGGTTGGAGATTCATGATCCTTGAAGTCCCTCCCAACCCAGGCCATTCTGTGATTCTGTGATTCTGTATAAAACCTCAGAATAGAGACTTACCACTTTAACTGATGTTTATAATATTACCTGACTCTTTTGCAGGTGGTATACAACTGGTCTTTACCCTTAAGTTCAAGAAGAAATCAGCAAATCATCACAACCAGAACCTTTCAGATACCAAACAGGTTGGCTAAGAGGCTGGGATATGAGCCATTGAAGTAGTAGTTTACACAGACTTGATGGTAAAATAATAAGATAGCATTTTAGAAATAATATGTCACTCCCTGTTTCAAAAGGTCAGGGAAGTGTGAACCCCCTTTACTTTTTAAATGAATTTCCAAAGTTGGGTTATTTTCCAAACAAAGATATTTGTAAGGATAGAGTGAAAATATTTGAGAAGTCTCTCACAATTGTAAAAAAGAAAACAAAACAAAACAGCACATAGATATATTTATAGATATTCGTTATAAAACGAATATTCATTTTCACTCAAGAAGAAAACAGAACTTCTCTTCTTTTTCCCAGAGGCACCATCTTCTTAAACATTCAAGCTCTCCTGCAGCAACCTGGAAGTGTTCCTCTCTCCATGAAACATCAATACCTTCATGCAAATGTAGAGGCACAAGTAACAATTGCATCCATCATCTTAGTAGGCGTCTATGTGCTGATCATACTGGAAGTAAGTCATGTTTTGTGTTGTAATTTTATTTTTGCCCTTCACTGCAAATGGAACATGAGGAAGAGTTTTGTTCTTGGCATTTAACATACTTCTAAAATCTGTATCTGAATCTGTGCTGTATCTTTATCGTTGTTAATGAACTAAATAAGATATGTGTGAGGAAATTGTTCTGAATTATAGCCAATTCTGGCTTATACAAAAGTTATACAAACAATGCAGTGGTTCTTGCATATTCTTCTGTTAGTGTCTCTTTATGTTTTAATACTTTTTAAAGGATTATAATTTGGCTGTGAGAGTAAAAATAATTTTGGTTCATAAGCAGTGTGGAAAATCCTTGGTTAAAAACCAATTAACTTAAAAACATATTAAGAAAAAAAAACGTTGGTTATTCTTTTTTCTAAGGAACCTCAAACAGTAATTTGGTGTGCTTTTTAAAGGTTAAACTGAGCACACTTTTTAGTATGAGTGACATTTAGAAATGCTTTTACTGTGCCACTTAAAGAGGAACTAGAATCTGAATTAACATGAGGAAGTCAAAGGATGCAGGAACTTTAAACATTTAACTTCATTTGAAAGTCTTGAGCCACCAAATTCAAAGAAAATGCTTAAAATCAGCACCAAGGATGAAAAATATGTCAGAAATAACTCAAGCTCCGACAGATATCTTTGAACTGAAAACACCTACTTTCTGAGTATCTTGAAATAAAGTACAGGTGCAGGAGCCCACATTTTATTCCCCCCCTTTTATTAGTTCTTGTGAGTGATAACAATCTCGATGAATTCTCAAGTTGAATCACACCAGATTTCTACTTGTATGAAACACGAATCATGTCTATACGGCATTTAGTAATGTCTAGCATGCTTACCATATCTTTACTGTAACTTAAATTTTTCATCGTGTTACCTGCTAAAATGATAAGAAAGATAGGTGAACAGCTTCTTAACAAATATTAATGGCACATACAATATGACAGATACTTTAGACATTTAGATTTGGTCATTCAGGAATAGTGATTTATTTCTATGCATTTTATACATGAAAAAGGAGATTTAATATTTAGAGAGGGACTTGGGCTAGATATTGATATAAATATACGAAAGCATGCAATGCAACATCAAAACAATTGCAATGCTTTTTAATGCAGTTTTTAGTTTTGAAGAAGCTATGTAATCCTATAGCAATTGCAAAATCTTGTTTTTAAAATATATGTAGTACCTGAGGTTACATGTTTTCATTGTAGAAAACCACTTTGGAACAATTCTTGGGTCAAAGGAAATGAAGGTTTGAAACTGAAGAGCAAAGCCAAGGAAAACATTAATTTTCCTGTTGTTTATAAGAAAAAGCTCTAAAACCACTAGTTTTTTTTTATTGTTTCCGTGAAATGATCAAGGAAAAATTTCTGTTCTTGGCAGAAAAATTATTTCATCACTTTCAAAGACAGAAATAGATCTTTACCTGTAAATTTTGAATTAAAGATGTGGGAATTCACCTATTGAATCATGGTTTTAGCTTTCTCCAGAGTAGCTGTAGAAATGACAAATGCTACAACTAGAGTAAATTTTAAACTATAAATATATAAGCTAGCAATAACTGAGATAGAAATAGAACTTCACTGTTTTTCAGTTCCCCCATGGATCTCTTCCAAGAGATGGATGTTAATATTTTTAGTATATGTAACACTGGCTTATCTCATATTTGCTATTTATAACTTTAGTGCCTGAAGTTGTGCTTTCTCAACACATTGCACTTTATTCCATTAGCTGTTATCACTGTTAGAGAAATCAATTGGTGTTGCTGCAGGAGTGATCTCTCATGGATTTTCATTTTTCTGTGCTGTTGCTCTCCTTCTTTTATCTGTCTTTATTGCAGTTTACTGTGTTTTATTAATTGTCATTGCCAATATAGGTTCAACTTCAGGCATTGTGTTCACCCAAGTGCATTTTAGAACTATATTTTCACATATTTTCTTGTATCTGTGAAGAAATAGTTGGGATTTTATCTGTCACAATGCACAAGAGCTATCTGAAGGTTTGCATCTAGCTGCTTTTGCACAGCTCTTTTCCTAATACAGGAAATCACATCACATTCCTGAATTCAACAGTCCACATTCTTCCACATTCCTGAACTCCACAGTCCCCATCATTTTTGTTAGTCACCAGGGAATGTACAGCAGAACAGGCTGCAAGAGCTTTTGCCTCCCACAGACACAGATGATGGGAAGAACTCTGATGAAGGAGCATGTTATGATTGAAAGACGAACTTCATTTACTGTAAACTGTCATTTTCTCCAATCTTACACCAGTTCAAAGACATAGGAAAATTCTGCTCTGAAGCAGTTGTTTTCATCTTTATCAGCACCAAATCTGTAGGACATACATCAAGTACCATTCCCTGTTCAGTAGAAAAGTCTCGATGTCTTCTGAAGAAAGACTGATAGAATCATAGAATGTCTTAGGTTGGAAGAGATCTTATATATAATTTAGTTTCAACCTTCTGCCATGGGTAGGGCTGCCCCCCACCAGCTCAGCTGCCCAAGGCCCCATCCAACCTGGCCTTGAGCACCTTCAGGGATGGGGCACCACAGCTTCTCTGGGCAGCTGTGCCAGCACCTCACTGCCCTCTGAGTAAAGAATTTCTTCCTAACATCTAATCTAAATCTACTCTCTTTTAGTTTAAAGCCATTAATTTCCCCCTTGTCCTATCACCATCAGACCATAAGAAGTTGGTTCTCCCCTTGTGGTAAGGGCCAAATGAGGTCTCTCCAGAGCTTTCTCCAGGCTGAACAAGCCCAACTCCCTCAACCTTTCTTCATAGGAAAAGTGCTCCAGGCTTCTGATTATCTCTGGGGCCTCTTCTAGAGCCACCCCAACAGTTCCACATCCTTTTGGTACTAAGTCTTGTTACGCTGTGGAGCCTGGTTTCTTCATGCATTTATTTTTAGTGTTGCTTCTTTTAAAACTGTTTATATGTTATTTAATCATAAAAATTTGAAACACATTTCTGGCTAAGAAGATACTAATTTTGCCTCTCCAGTTTCTAACGGTTTCTTTTATAGACTTGCCAGAAATGTGAATATTTTTGTACTTCACTATCCCACTCTACTCCTTGATATTGCCTTAAACTCTGGATATCTCTTACTTACATTTTCTTAGTAAGACCTGTGTGTTCTCTTTTTTCTTTATTTTTTTTTTATTTTCCATATAATCATTCTTTCCTTCAGAAAGTGGACATTCATCCACTTGAAATTGGTTTTTCTTCGTATATTGAACAGTCACATCATTGCATTTCAGTCTTCGCTGCCCTCCCCTTCTCCTAGAGGAGAAAGAAGAAAAATATATATTTCTCATGGTATTTCTGAAATAATCTAATCCATACCATTTTGTAGACTTTGTAGAAAACAATGCAGTATTTCATTTTATTCTTGGAAGCCAACACTGCACAGGAAATTAAAGCAAGGGTACATTAAATTAAAATAAAACAGCAACAACAAAAGAGAATAAAAAGATAAAAAGGTGGTTTGTGTTTACCTGCTTTGATCTTGGTTCCTGAGGAAGAAATGGATTGTAAGTATGCTTTCACCCAGGTCTATGGGGAAAGCTGGTGTAAAGTGCAGATGTCCAGAGTTTGATGTTGATGTTGCTGTACTGAATTAGTTCACAATGTATTTCAAGAAAGAGTCTTTCTAGTTTTGATCCTCAAAACATGTAGCCCTCTTTGATTGAGAATTTTTCAGAAAAAAAAAATTCTAACTAAAAATCTTAGAAAATTTACTTTTTGCCTTCTTATCTGAAAAGAATGTTTGAAGCAGAAAAGCATATGCTCTCTATTGCCTTCTTTGATCAAAATTAATTTTCCACCACAGCACTTTTATATTTGTATAAATTATTTCTTACACACTATTTGCTCAGATTTGATAAGCATTCATGTAGAATCTTTTTTTCCATTGATACAGCATAACCAAGTAAAAGTGAGATGGTTAAAAATCTCATTTTTTCCTATGCAATACAGTGAGATACCTTTGACTTCTCCCTTTTTGTGCGTGGTAGAGTATACAGGTAGTGGGATAATATACTGATTACCTTTTAAAAAAATCTATCTGCCTATTCTTATATTAAAATATTTGTTAATGTTATAATGTTATATTAGTATTTAGACAAAAAATCTTGAGTTGATAAAGCTCTTATTTGTTATTAGTAATTGCATATTTGTAGTTATGTTGGAACTGCATTAATTAGGAATATGTGCGGAGGAATCTGTTTATTATTACAGCATAGAGATCACTAATTTGGACAAATTATTAATTGTGTACTCTTGTTCAATATTTTCCATTAATAGTATAGTTCATGTTGAGGGCTAAAATGGAGTGTTAGCTGTTTATGATATTTAAATAAACCAGAAAGTATGAAGGAAATGATCTTTAAAAAATGTTTTAGTGACTTTATTAAATAATGAAAAAGTTACCACTATCATGGTATATGGAATGAAAGTGATACTTTCAGGAATTTGAAATTCTGCACTTGAGAGCCTCCACTGAAATTGTTTTATCACAAGAATTATCATTCATATTCCCTTATGTAGCTAACTCTAAGGAAGATCTTGCTGGTATCTTCCAAACAGCATTTTAGTGACCTGACATCTTGAATGATTTTTACAGGTCTGTATTACCTTTTAAAATGCAAATATGTGAAAGTGCAAAATCTGCCCTTAAAAGGTCTAGCTTCTAATTTTTTGAAGAGTGGACTTATAATCACAATTTTATTAATTTATGGAAATGGATAATATCAGTTTCTTTCCATATTTCCTTTCTATTATTAACTGGTTTAAATTATGAATAAGCATCCCTTAAGCTCAATTACTTTAATACAAAATAGAGTGATTTTTAATAGCAACTAACCAGCAGAAATTAGCTGCAGACATCAAAATTACTACACAATTTAGTATGCAGTTTAGTGCAACCATTTTTCCAGCATTGTGGGCTGGTTGAACCAATATCAGAAAT